GAGGTTTGCAGTGACATTTTACAATCTATTAAACACAAGTAAAAATTGTTTCTGAAAGAAAAATGTGGCTCGATGAGAGGAATGTGGGGTTAAGCTCACCGTATGAAGTTCTGTGGTAACCTTCAGAAGTCCATCCTGTAACTGGGTGCAAATGTCTCTGCTCTGAAAATATAAATGATAATTTTAGCAACTTTGTATTACAATGTCAGGCGAGTGGCAGGTGACTATGTCAAAGGTGTTTCTGTGCACTGTTTGCAAAGTGTCAGTGCAAAGGAAGCCACATGTTTATACGGGGGCATGTTTGCTCCTTCGAGTGTGTGGGTGTTTGTTTTTGCAAATGTGGAAGGATATGAAAATGTGTGTGTGAGCGAGATGGTGTGTGTGTGTGTGTGATGGTGGGTGTGTACCCGTTTGGCCAGGCGTTGGGCATGTTCAACACAGTGTGAAAGCTGTTGAGGCAGAGTGTTGCTGTAGCTGTCACTCAAGAAACTGTGATCTCTGCTCTCCTGACGTGTTTGCATCAACAACACCTGCCAGCAGTTAACCACTGACTGATGGCTGGGCTCCTTCCTGAGGGGCATAGAAACAGAGAACTGAGTTATAAAGTTCCTGGTAAGCAACAGATACATATCTATATATAAACAGCAGTTTTTTTTTCCTAAAACCAAATATATACACTACTGTTTAAAGTTTGAGTTCAGTAAGATTTTTTATTTTTTTAAATTTTTTTTTAAAGAAATTAATAGTTTTATTGAGAAAGGATGCATTAAATTGATCAAAGTAACAGAAAAATCATTTATAATGTTACAAAAGGTTTGTAATTCAAATAAATGCTGGAGTTTCAATAGGAAAAAAGTTACTTTAAATTGTAATAATAATTCACAAAATCACAAATTTTACTGTATTTTTAAACAAATAAATGCAGACTTGGTGAACATATAAGATTTCTGTCAAAAACATTTAGTAACACTTTACAATAATTTGTTAATATTGGCTAATGCATTAACTAACAATTAGAAATACAATTGTTACGGTATTTTTTTAAATTTTTGTTAATGTTAGTTAATAAAAATGCAACCATTTATTCTTAGTTCAGGTACATTAAAAAATATTAACAGATACAACTTTTGATTTTAATAATGTATTACTAGATGTTGAAATTAACATTAACTAAGATTAACAAATGCTTTAAAAGTATTTTTCATTGTTAATGTTAACTAATGTAAGCTAAGTTAACAAATTGAACCTTATTGTTAAGTGTTACCAAACTTTCTAACCGACCCCAAATTTTTGATAGGTAGTATATATAGAATTATATATATATATATATATATATATAATATGTTATTGTGCCATTTTTGCTTGCTATGTTTGGGGTATCTGTCTTTAAAATAAATTGCTTTTTAAGGGTGGCATAAGTGGCCACTTTTTGTTTTTAACTGTATATACAGATTCTTCACAGGTTAAGAACACTTTTTCATGCATTAATGGTGATTTTTTTTTTCTTTTTATATCCTCACTTCCTGGTTCTGGAGGAGAACCTGTCACACAGTTTGTCCAGTGAGCGGGCGTACTCCCCCTCAATCTCGCCTCGTCTGCGCAAAAAATCGATCAGATCTTGGAACACCTGAGTCTTCTGCTCCACCTGACCATCAAATATCCTCAACTGCTCCGCCAGCTGCAAACGCACCTCTAGTGGAGAGAAAGAGAGAGCGCGCGATTATATTTCTATAGTTCCTCTCTGTTAATCTGTTTCATTTGACAGGTGTCAAATAACAGTTAACTGGAACATGTTGACTTCACAAAGTTTAACAAGACGGATGGCGATAGACAGATAGATAGATAGATAGATAGATTTCAACATTTACAAATTGTATCTGTTAATATTATTTAATGCACCTGAGCTAACATGAACCAAGTATGAGCAGTTGTATTTTCATTAACTAACGTCAACACAGATTAATAAATTGGTTATCTGTGATTTTGGAAGCACATACAAAACTTGCAACAGAACGAAATTGGAAAGGAATCAGTTTTGGCTTCCATTGCTTTCCAATGCTCAGAAATCTTAAAGGGTATTCAGTGTTAGGACGTCCGTTACCTTTAATCTGTGTATCATAGTCCGCTGTCCCCACTCTGTCCCTCCTCAGTTTGACATGGGACGACATTGTAGCTCCAGCTAAGTGAATGAACTGAAGCCATGTAGAACTTTAAAGAATATACTTGAAAAAGATTTTCATTAGCACTTCATGCTTTTAATTTTATATTTTGACCCATTTTGACCAATCTATATGACCCACAGAAATGAGAAACATGTACATTGACTTTTAATGCAGACTTTACATTCATATTATCATTTCATCCATTTTAGTGCCAAGATCAATCAAGGTCAAACTCGTACTCAGATTTCTTTGGCTTTAAGTTCATTTGGACTATAACAATAACTCAACTTGATTTGTACACCTACAATACCACAAGTCCTGAGGCAATCAACCATTGTGTACAATAATTAATTTGCAGTCTAGAAGACTATAAACACTCTCATCATTTAACATCATATAAAATGCCTTGTATAATATATTCAGATTCAAAAGAAATTGAGAATAAGCATATACACATATATATATATATATATATATACATAGACAGTAGGGAAATACACTGAGGTCAGACATAATACACACATTACACACATTCACCTGCTGTGACACATCCACACATATCTCGTAGCCAGTGCTGCTGTCTGTCCCTATCCTAATATTATCTTTATTTGTTCCGCTTCAGTCATGGCTGTAAAGTTCTTTATGATATTTGTGAATTTGTTCATGTATAGGTCTCTTATTGATTTAAATTGGTAATTGGTGAAGGAGAAAGTGCACCTCTGCCTCGATCTCTCCTGTCTCACATGTGAGCACACACACTTTGCTCTCTGGGTAACCAGCTCTTTTTGTGTCTGCTGGTCTCAATGGCTAGACTGTGCTCACTGAGCCTGTACTTGGTCAGGATCTGTGTCTGCTTTGTGTCTCGGACACTCTAGAGATATTCTTCCAATTCATAATTTGAATTTATAGTTCGATAGAGTTGTAATTTACTTTGTGTTTTTTCTTGATCCCAATGTTCCAGATATATATTTTTAGATTGTTTGATTATTCTATTTGTTTTGAGATTGGTTAGTGTTAGTAGAGAGTCAGGTTAAGTCTCTGAACCAGCTGACTTAGGGGACTTATTTCACACACAAACACACAGTCTGGTCAGCCATCCTTGTAGGGACTCTCCATAGGCATAATGGTTTTTATACTGTACAAACCATATTTTCTATCACCCTACACCTAAACCTACCCCTCACAGGAAACTTTCTGCATTTTTACTTTCTCAAAAAAAGTAATTCTGTATGATTTATAAGCTTTTGTACCTATGGGGACCTCAATTTAGGTCCCCACCGTGACACGAGTCCCCATGAGTCTGTGTGTATTCAGGTTTAAGTCCCCACCAGGATATATAAACCAACCAACCCCACACACACACACACACACACACACACACACACACCAGGAGTGTCATCATTCAACATGTCACAGCAGTTGTTCTGCAGTGACCTACAGTACAGTGGATGTACAGTGCACTTTTCAATTGTAGTGAACAAATTGCACATCTAGGGAGTCAAAAAAGGGGAAGGTAGCAGACTTCCTGTGTTAAGAGCAAATCAGACGGCAGCAGCACACTCTCACCATGAGTCATGACAACAGGCCACCCCCTAAGACTCTCTCCTTCTATCATTCTTCACAGAAACTTCCCCATTTACATCTCATGAAAGTAACTAAACGTTCACCGAAATAATTGATTTCAGATCTCCAAATGTTATAAGACATATTCAGGAATTAAGCATGCATGTTTCCCAACAACAAGCCAATTTTAATCACTTTTCTTGGCATAAGATTTATCTCCATCTACTCCTGCTGACTTAGGATAAAACTCTGTTTTTCAGAATATTATTTTCCGAGGAAGTTACTTTAGCAATATGTGTGAAAAAATATGTTTAATATGCATTATGAATTATAAAAGTAATGTATGAAAACTGATCAAATAACACATGCAAACTGATAACTACAAAATAAATTACATAATAAAACAACAAAATCATGCTATTTTTGTTTTTCTAAGTAAACCCACAACACTTACCTTAGTAATTCCAGCAGATGTTCACACTGGTATTCTCAATATATCCTCTTATACAGCTTCCACACTCCCTTAGTATCGCTTGTCCAAACCAAAGCCCTGAGAAACCGTCTTTCTATCGCACACAAGCACTGTGAGATACAGAGAAAGACAAGACCATTCTCCTCCTTCCTCACTCTGTCACTGTGTGCTGACAGTAAGTGTACTGAATACTGTGTAAAACCTCAATTCACTGGCCCCTCCTCCCTCACCGTGCTTTCTCACTTTCACAAACACTATCTTTTCAATTTGGATTCAAGCAGCCATTTATCTGACATGCTTTATTTGGAGTTATATGCCTCAGTAATGGCTATTTATGTCTGCCTGTTTAGACATCGAAAAGGCCTGATGTCTTTCTGAAAGTAAGTGGCAGTTTCCATTGAAGATCTTCCCACACAGGTCGACAATAATAAGGTCGAAACAAACATAGGTAGTGGAAAACGCTTTGATTCTGATGCATCTAAATTGATAGCTGCTTTGACCCCAAAATAAGCATTATGACCTTTCAGTTTTCCTTTAACGGAAGGAGAAGTGGCTTGTACGGATCAGATTGCATCACAGGTCATTTTTGTTCACTTGTGCAGCTGCACTGTTCCTATTTATTTAATCCATCCAAAGTTATGAAGCACAAAAGAAGGAAATAAAAACAGATATGTTCTGTTTTTGCAACAGATGGCACCTACTTAGTACCAAATAAGTTAATAACAGTTGAAATTCACTTTATTATTAAACATGTTAAGTGAGACCAAGCTTCGCTTTCACATTCTCACACAGTTCTTTTGCTCTTGTATGTGTTTTATTGGTGTTAGTGTGTGAGGACCTATTCATTTCCTTCCTCTCCTGAGTGTCTTATCTGTTTCCCATGATAAATCTAAATCTAAGTCTGTTTGTGACTGTATTAGTCTCATTAATGGAACTATAAGGTTCATTTTAGATTTTTATTTATCTGAAATGTATTTTTTATTCAGTAGAAAAGATGCACAGTATGCAACTGGATATTTCTTAAGAACATAGTGACCGTTAACCACCGTCAAATACCACAAATGAACCACAACTGCATTAAAAGTCTATTGTCCTCCTACTGCCGTGCACTATAGAATGTTAAAAAAAATCCATCTGCATTTTACAGTTAACAAGTTACAAGTTTTTAGTGGTTTATATTTGTGAAGTTCACCTTCTGCTTGCAAATGTAGAATTCTAAAAATAGAATCATGTTAAAACCAAAAATTCCAGTCAAATGTTCTGTTCACGTGGTTCAGTTTATGATGTAAAAATTACAAATATGTTTTTTTTATCACATTATATCAAGTACATGGTAGTGTTCCCACTGCAGCAAAAACAAAAAAAAATCTTAGAGTGATCATGACAGTGAAGACTGAAAGTAGAGAAGTTTTCGGAGGAAGTTGAACGATCCGGGCATTTGTTTATACAAGCCTTTGGCAGATATCTGGGAGACTGCAGCATTTACCTAAAGAAAATAGATATTCATATATATAATTTATTTTAATGCAAAAACATTAAAAATAAATAAATTATATATTATGTATAAATGTAATTATTTGTGCTTGAAAATCAAACCAAAACATTTTGGTATATTGCATAGGCACAAATGATATTAACATAGTGTCTATTTTTGCTTAACTATCTGACTAATCTATGTAATTAATATAACTTAAAATAGGTTTAGCTTTATGTATTTTTTGGACACAGGACACAAACCTAAGGCTGCGTTTACACTGCAGGGCTGTATGCACAGATCCGATCTTTTAACCATATCCAACTTTTTCTCCCACCGGTTTACATTCACTTATGTCATGACTCATATCCGATACTTACTGTACATTTACTGTATATGAATCCCCACCTAAACATGAATGATAACCCATGGTGATCTCATTCAGCAAAATGGTTGACCCTCAGGTTTTGAACAGCTATAAAAATTATTTATATAATTTACATTAGGTGGTTCTTTAACTTTAATGCACACCATCTGTGATTATCCCGCTTATAAAATTATCACTTGCCAGCCAGTAGTTAAAGATGTCATTGATGTTTGCAGCACAAAATTTAAATTAATATAAAATAACAGTAGTTTTCATAAGTTATTTCATCTACAGGTTGTTAGATCTAAGTTTAAGTTTCAATAAAAGAAGTTGAGTTTTTGCGCAAGCATACAGTATACAGGCAACATCTGCTTCGTAATGTGACAAGTTATAGTGGGCAAATGTGTCTCCATCGCCTTGTGATGGCTTGGAATTCCAATAGGAATCAGATTTACGTGTTTAGATGTAGGTCAGATGTCCAGATATCGGATATGTATCTGATTTAAAACCATATTTGGAAGCAGCTCAGAACAGATGCGAAGAAATCAGATCTCATGTGGATTTTTATGTTTTGACGTGTGCAACAATATCCAATCTGCATCATGTGAGTTCAAAATCTGATTTTTTGTTTCAGTGTAAACGCAACCTAAAAGTATGAATGAATTTTATGTCTGCCATCAGTAAAAATATAGCACTTAAACAGGAAGAGTTTGTATGCGATGCAGTTTGAGGAGCAGACTAGTATTTGCATGGCGTCAAATCTTTTTAACAAATTATCTATAAGCTAGCAGAATATATAAGATAGCAGAATATCTACTGCTTGATATGATACATACCATGATACTGCTGTACTCTAACTGGTAGCATTATTATCGCATAATTTGGTTTGGTGTGGTTTATTTTTTTTCCATTTTTGAGAACATATTTATTGTATCTAGCAGTTGTTTTAAGAAGCTTTATGGGACAAAGACATACCATCATTAGCATGGTCACCAGATCATCCGTGGCAGCATTCTCCTCAAGCACACAATCAAGATTCTCCACATACCAGGATCCGGCCTGTGTGTCCCTCCAGGAGACGTAGCCTGCAAATGCATTAGCATGAGTCATTTACTTGTGTTTGCCAATCAAAAGGGAAATATTAATCAACCAGAAAAACTATTTAAGGCACAACATGTAATTCTGTAATGACCAAAACACAGACCTGGAAAGGTTGAGTAGGACACCAGGATGTCGCTGGGTGTAGGCAAAGTGGCCCGAGCATCAAGTTCATCAGATGTGCTGAGAGAGTCACTGCTGGAGGATATGGGAATAGCGTCCATCTGGTCATCTATCCCACCCAAAGAGGGCTCCACCTCATCTGGAGAAACCTCAAAACCTGTGTCCTTCTCACCTACAGGTGAGAAGAAAAAAAGTTAGCTTCATCTGAAAAACTACAGCACACTAGGAAATGTTCCATTTCAAAACCTCTGATTATTTTTAGGTATGGTCACATTAGCAAAATTTTGGAAAAGGTCCATTGTCTATCATAAATAATGTAGCGATGTATGAAGCACAGCTCACACCGAAATCTCCTACAAACCAAGCAGCTTTCTGTTGGTTAAAACTGTGAATTCAACTTGAACCAGTTGCGAAATCTGTGTGGGGAAAATTCTTCATGGTGAGCTGTAAGACTAATGAAAAATCATGATCCTTAGCTTAAGCCAGACAGTGATTCATCTTTTATGAATCATTAAAATATTGTTGTCCGGTATGCTGTGAGCATGAAGACTGTAGTATGTACACTGTGAGCTTTTAAAAGCTTAGCTTAAAGGTCCAGTATACTTTAAGCAAAAATGAAGAATGAACTGGTGTGATATAATTTCTAAATAACTAAAGGCCAAAATGAAGTTCGCTCATGCAAATATCTGCACCTATGATCCAACTGCTGTTTTCTTACCAGTCATTTTAGTTGTTTTTTTGTTACAGAGATGAAAGCATGCATTTATATATTCATCAAAACATCATTTTCAGCAGCATTCAAACTTGTTTTTACCGCTAAATGAAGAACAAAAAAAGAACTTCTCTGTGAGTATATCAATGCCCTAAATGTGTGATATGAATAAATGGTGCTCATAAATGTGCTGTTGGGATAGTATTCTCAAATGAAACACATCGGCCTAGATGTTTGGACCCGGAAACAATATTCCTTAACAATCAAACTGAAATGACTGGATTTTGAACATGAAAATTCGCAGAACCATAGTAAATGTGACCACACCTTTTGGCTACAAGACTTGTGAAAGATTTCTGAGATGCCCACCTCCTCCACAAGCCTGGATGAAGAACAGTTTGGGCTTGCCCTGCAGAGAAGGACAGTTCTGGCCGTTGAGGTAGTTTGTGATTAACTGAACTGGGACAGCTGGTCCGTCAACACCATGAACTGCTCCGGGAAAACGATTGTGGTTTGCCTAAACATTAGAGAAATGTCGAGCACCAAAGCAGAATGAGAAAATTGCACTAATGTTTTTGTAATTGGATAGCTTGATGGTGTTCTACAAAAAGTGAGGAAGCGAATAAAATGTCTTTGCAGGTTGTACTTCTTTGTTGAAAACTAACTAGTCTTCATAAATGTGAAAAACAAATATAACATGTATCCTCTTTTTTTTTTTGAAGAAAATATATGACTGGTTTTACCTCAGTACCATGTGAAAGGATGATCACCACACAGCAGTCATACGCAGAATGATCCCTCTTTGCTAAAGATGCCATCTCATGTCTTATGCGCTACAGAGGGCAGAAAATTCATTTTTAAAATGTATTAAAGACAGACTTTTATCTTACTGCTTTGTTTACAGTGAGAAGAAGAGGAAGCACTGTGCTTACTTTGTACTTCAAGTTCCTTTTTGCAATAACCTCAAAGTTGAGAGCTTTAAATCTTTTCTCCATCTTGTCGCAGTCAATGTCGGACCCCTTTCGATCTTTTAGATCACAGTCTGGGTCAAAATCCACATTGTTTATAATCAGGCAGATCCCACAAGGACTGGCATCCATCTTATAGCACTGCACAAAAAATATTAAGTGGGTGGTTAGGTACAATGGCGCAATAAAAACAATTTTTTCATAAGAAGTCTCTTATGCTCACCAAAGTGGTATTTGTTTGATCAAAAAATACAGCAAAATACAGTAAAAACAACTTTTATTACAATTTAAAATAAATTCAGTTCTGTCATGAAACTTTAGATGGCGCAGGCTGATAAGTCCTATCTCAGTCTGATATAATCACATCATTATTCACATGGTGCAGCAGATTGGTTTATGTTGCATCAGCAACCAATGAGCTCGCTGCTCAACATTCAAATACTTGGCCAGTGTTTGCTGTAGCTGTTTGCTGCACGCTTTGTAATCCTCCACCTTCCCCAGCTCCACCTGTCTAGATCTGCTACGGGTAATTTCATGCATGTTATATGTGCAGCAACAGGAAGTCTTACATGCTCACAGCAGTATGTCTGTGGATGTATTGACAGTAGCAAGTATCAGTACTTGCTCTGCCTCATCAGCAGCAGCAGCATAGCAGATCTATTCCGCCAAGACCAAATACATCAACATTGCTATAAATATTACCATGCTAATCTTTCAGAGAGTTGCCATGACAGAACTGTTATCTACTTTACTATATTTTGAAATGTAATTACTTTCTGTGATGGCAAAGCTGAATTTTTAGCAGCCATATCAAATCTCACTGACTCCAAACATTTGAACAGTAGTGTTAGATGCTTAAATATGCGCATTTGCACATATTTGCATTCTTTTATTTTAATTTTTTATATGAATACATATTAAAAGTAGTATTACAATATAACAGCATTGGTGCTAAAGAAACATTTCTAATTATCAATGTGGAAAACTGTTGTGCTGCTTATTTATTAATTTTTTTGGTAACCATACACTTCTAAATTTTGAGAATCTTTTCCGCACACAAAAGTAAGAACACTTGTACACAATTATCAGTTAAAACATTTAAACAAATCATCTTTTAAAACATTCAGGATTGTTTGCTGAGAATGATCACGTTTACCTGTATACTGTCTCTTCTCGGTCTGGTTGGTCTCACAGCTTGAGTTTCAGAAGCTGGGTAAATGCATAAATCCAAAGGTTATTCATGCTTTTTAACCAAATTGCCCTTTACTTTTAATTGGTAGTATTTCACATATGAGAACTAACATACTTTATTGAGAATTAAAACAGGACTGACTCACATGGGCTAAGAGGATTGGGCACAGGGAGTCGTTCTGGTCTCAGTGGTCCTAACCGTGATGGAGTAAAATCAGGTCTGTCAGGTTTTTCTGTATATTTTGGATTTTCTGCATCGAATCATAAGATTAAATAAGATATCTCTATGCATCTTTAATATACTTTAGGGAAAAATCATAGCAGAATGCCAGTTACAGGCAAGGCTCAAGAGGATCATGGGTAGGTGGGGGTGTTTTATGTTCCACTGTATTATGGGAACATCCCAAGTAAATATATCCAAGTAAATCCTGTGTGTTTAATGGAAGTAACACACTTACGGACTGGCAGAGGGATCAGCGAAGGCTGTATGGGGACAGAAGGAGGCAGACGAGCACCATCTCCACACTGAAGGAGCTCTGCGAGGGCATGTTGGCCAGTTTCACGCAGACACTCCAGGAAAGCTGGAAAAGCCTGACTCCCTCTCGTCTCTAAGTCTATCACCAGTTGCCTGGCTTGGTCACGTCTTGTTATCTTGCTCTGTTAGGAGAACAACAATGTTTCACATTTGCAGCTTTGCAACAAGGGAACCACTCACACAGGAATGGTCATATCATCTTACCTTCATAATTGTAAACTAAACTAAACAATGCACATTATTAACAAGTGAAGTGTGAACATCCTGTATGAAGCATGACAGTTAAGCAGATTGTTAGAAACTGACAGTCTGAGTTTCCTTTCACTTTCAGTGCATCATGTTACCATACAATTAAAATAAATGAACGGTGACTGTGACAGGTTTTATGCTTAGAATTCTTCTTTTGGGTTACACAAAATGAAAGAAAGTCATACTGGTTTGATAAGGGTGAGTGAATAAATAAATTGTACTGTTCCTTTGTGAACTTTCACAATGACCACATGCGAATTTATAATCCCGTTCCCAGTTTCCCACCTATGTAAACAAAGACATGACTATTACCTGTATTTCATCGATCATGTCCTGGGTGAAGACCCCCTTTGACAAAAGTCCATCGCAGATGTCTGCAGGATTTAATGCCGTGACTAGATTACGCCTGTTCCTCTGAAGTATCTGTCTGTGTTTGGGGTCCATTTTAGCAATAATTCGGTATTAAAAGTGTTTATGACTATGAGACGTTTTCAATACAACGAAATATTTGTTAATTAATTTGTGGAAGTAATATACAGTAAACGCGGAAAAAAACAATAAAGCTCGAACTGAGCTGAATCGACTTTTAATCAACACAAACCGGAGCTCTGCTCGCTAGGCGCTTTTATTCTCTTCCTTGTTTACATCTTGCTGGCGATGACGTCACATATACAGTAAACGCGGAAAAAACAATAAAGCTCGACCTGAGCTGAATCGACTTTTAATCAACACAAACGGGAGCTCTGCTCGCTAGGCGCTTTTATTCTCTTCCTTGTTTACATCTTGCTGGCGATGACGTCACGCTCTCTGGGCTTGGCAGGTGTTTACCAAAGTACACAGTGAAACTGAAACGTTTTAAGTTGAACATGTTACTCATGTGATTTCTGTCAAAATGAAATACAAAATTTCATACGTAGATAAATAAACGTAGTTTTTAACTGTATAGAAGTGAAATATAAAAAAGCAGCTAATATTAGTGATAAAGTTCCATACACATAAAACGAAATAAATAGAAGTCATGTTATTATTAAACATTGAAATAATGTTAAAATAATATAAAACAGTAACCTTAAAATTATTCTCGTATCAATTTTTCTTATATTGTTTGCATATTACCATCAGATGATTTAAAAATTAAACCAAATGTAGTCCTATATAAAGTAACATTAAAATGTTTAAAATAAAGGTAAAAATGTGTATTTTATTATTTCTGCTTTCTTTTACCGTGTGTGTGTGCACTGCTTTGACAATATCGTACATAAAATTATGTGTTGGGGAGTAACTAGTTACATGTAATGGAATTACGTAATTTAAATAAATGTAACTGGAATCTGTTACAGTTAGTGAGAACAAATGTGTAATTACATTTTAGTTACTTATGAATATGTAAACGATTACAAAGGGGGTTACATCTCAATTTCACATATTTACCCTCAAAATGATCTCAAAGTAAAAAGAGGTGAAAGTCTGATTTTGTGGTGGATGTGCTTTAAAATGAAATTATTATAATTTTAATTCAAGCGATAACCAATTTTGAAAGTCTGACAGTAATTAGTGTTAAGCACCACAGTAAGTTTAACCCTGCCTGCTTTAAATGTTTGAAAATTATTATACAGTTGAAAACATTCATTAGAAATTTAGAAAATAAAAAAAATCGAATGTAATCAGTTACTTTCATAAAACAATTGAAATGGTTACACAACATATTACATTTTAAATAGGATAATTTGTAATCTGTAACCTATTACATTTCCAAAGTAACCTTCCCAACACTGATTATCATGCCAATATATGTACTTTGAAAGTGAAAATGAGAAAACTGTAGCGCCACCTGCTGGTAAATACAGTGAATGTTGTAATATGTTGTAAAGCAGCAAGAGAAGGCAGATACTGTGAAGTCAAAGGCCAGTGTTGTTTGTGTAATTTGTATGTTCATATCTAACACAGATACAGTGCAGTGAATAAATGCACATAAAGACACCTAACTTAGGCATCTTTTGCATTGGTTGTCAACTAGGGGTTCTCAACAAACAACAAAATGGCATTTAAAGTAAGTTGAATTAAAATAACCTACTATAATTTCAATGCTAAAAAACAAGCAGTTTTATCATTACAGTACTATATTGTATTCTACAGTACAAAATTGTGTACTAATCTATTCACAGATAAAAAAAAACATGGTCAATGAAAAACTAATTTCTTGACAAAAATGAAACCCACTTTAATATTTTACAGTCTGCATTATCTTAGTTTGGGAATGTGACTTGGTAAAAGAAAATAAAGACTCTTAATAGACATGTTGACAAACTGTAACAGTACAGCAAATCAAAACATGAGGAAGAGTTTTCCATATGGATCTTAAACATGGAGCCATTCAACAAGAGATAAAGAAACAGCATATGAACTCATACACTCCATCTCTCCACAGTATACAGACCAAAAAACTTGTGTGGATTTGTACATTCAATGGCAAATTTTACCTCAATATTTAGGGTATATAACAAATACAAGGATACAAATGTCGTTCACAGAAAGCAGAGTCCATACAGAAGAGCTTAGTTATTTGACTTTATAAAACCAGGCCTTGCCAATCCCTTGTAGATGTGAAGCTTTCCTGCCCCTTGGACTTCAAAACTGTAGTCTGTGGTAACGTAAGGGAAATCTCCTTCAACTCCATGCTGAAACAAGACAAAAAAAAAACAAAGACCCATCAAGTTTTGATAACCCTTACACAAATGGTTATAGATCATCTGGACCTTTATATTCAGTGAGTAAATTGTAAAATGCACCCCATTGTTTTGTATAACAAGAACCCTTTGGTCATTTCATGGATGTCCATGATCTATACTACTAACCCCACACTTTTGAACAGTAGTATATAGTGCTGAATCACGTACCTGCTTGGTGAGCAATATTTTAGGCAGAGTGATCTCTCCCAGCAGGAGACAGTTCACATGCCTCAGGACAGAGGGGGACACTGGAGTAACCAGAAAGTACAAACCACGTGCCATGTCTACCCCTCTCAGAACACCTTAAAAACACAACAGCAGGCAAATTACATTTTAAGGAAGATTGTATAATCCTGCATTGATGTATAATGAATATTTGTAATGCAACAGCAGGTTAACAGAAAACAGGCGAATGAGGTCGACCAGTATCTGAAAGCCATGACCTGTGAAAGAGAGAAAGACGAGATAAGTCAGTACCAGAAACTCTAACGAAAACTATTATTATACCTATTAAAAACAAAATAATAAATATTAAATATTCTTAACAGGGCTACCAATTTTAGAAAACAAAAAATACTTCTGACCCAGCTTAATCAGTATATCAAGCTATTATATTGATTGACAGTCCTAATATTTGAATAAATATACAAGATCCATTAATGAGTTGATATACCGTTCGAATCAATATTCCTATTTCACATGCAATATTTTTTATTGCTGACCTCTGATCCAGCCCATAGTATTGATGATGACAGGACTTTCTCCACTGACATGACGCCAGAGGGATTTGAGAGACTCCAGATACCGATCGATGTCAGCCTGACAATCTGCCTGACCATAATACACCATGTGCTCTGGGTCACGCAGGTGTGTGAAAGGAGGCCCTAAGAAAGAACAACACAATCACAAACATGTCCATTTTTGGGGGTATATAACAAAGAACATATGCTAAATGTAAGACACTTCTGAATTGACAGAATCTTTTAAATGATACTGGTGAAGAAAAATGTACTTCCTGTGGCTATATGGAGATGGAGAGTATGACACATACCCAGCAGTGGTTCTGTAACTGTGTTCAAGGAAAGACATCCGGGAGGGGTGAACTCAGTCTGGCCTAGATCACACTCCAAATACTCTACACTTGCAGTGCTACACACACACACACGCACACACGCACACACGCGCACACGCGCACACACACAACAAGGTAGAGAGGACAGATACCAGTTTAAAATGACATGTAAAGTCCTTAAATAACTTTACAAAAGCACAAGATTACTCTCAATTTATCCTCTTATTACTAAACTGATAAAATGAACTACTTGAACTCACTGATTGAGCAGGCTGTTAATAAGGTGTCGATTGAGGGTGGATTTGCCAGAAGACTTCCCCCCACACACAAGAATTATGGGACAGCGGACAAATTCCCCTGTGGGCAATTTTTTTTTCTTCTTTAATTACACAATTATATATTATAAAATCATTTATACAGTTTATATCAACTTTTTAATTATAGAATTAGTCCAACTAGTTACCTGCCCAGGCACTGAGCAAACTGCTTATAGCTTCTCTGTAGCTACGTGACAGCACCAGACCCTGTGCACAAGGTCCACGCAGAGATGTTACACCCACAGCTGACAGAACAGGGCTATAGACGGCAGCCTGAGACTTCAGCTCCTTCTGCAAGATGCATAAACACCACAATTATATATTATAAAATCATTTATATAGTTTATATCAACTTTTTAATTATAGAATTAGTCCAACTAGTTACCTGCCCAGGCACTGAGCAAACCGCTTATAGCTTCTCTGTAGCTACGTGACAGCACCAGACCCTGTGCACAAGGTCCACGCAGAGCTGTTACACCCACAGCTGACAGAACAGGGCTATAGACGGCAGCCTGAGACTTCAGCTCCTTCTGCAAGATGCATAAACACAGACACAAATATATCTATGTTGCTATGCCAGGATGTTCAAACAAATAATGTCACAAGCACCACAGAGTCACAGTGTTTACATTCTTTCTACAAATGGTTTACTTAAAGTTTGCATGTGCATATTAAACTGGGAATGTATTTTAACATCACAAACAATATACATATCAGGTAGGTATTTCAAACATGAACGTACAAAATCTGAAAGGTCACCAACTTACGGAGTTGAGGCCAAAGATCTCCGAGAGCTCTGAGAAGCTGGTGAGGAAGCGGGTGAGCGGCGTGTCCAGAGGCTCCAGAAGCACCACGCAGGAGTCAGAATCCACCTCACTCATGAGCTTTTTACTTGGCTCTAGACATAAAAACACGAATTGCAACAGAACGTTAGAAAGCAAGTGCAAAAAAAGAACTTTAGTGCAGGTAGAAATTAATTTAAGGCAAGAGACTAAAGACAAAAACTGGTCAATTTTGAGCTATTTGGGTTTTCGTGTATCTAAAATACATGTTTGTGTGTTTATTTTATGGCACTTTACCCTCAGGCCATCTAAGATGTAGATGAGTTTGTTTCTTCATCAGAACAGATTTGGAGAAATTTAGCATAACATCACAGCTCACCAATAGATCCTCTGCAGTGAATGGGTGCCGTCAGAATGAGAGTTCAAACAGCTGATAAAAACTTCACAATAAACCACTAGTAAAATAAAATCAATACAAAAAAATGTAATGAAAAAAAATTCTTACTGGAGGAAGCAATATTATGAGTAGAGGACTTTTTTTTTAGCTGGAAGCAATGGTTTGAAGTTAAAAACATCTAAATGATGGGTTTATTGCAAACGCAGCTTTTCACTTCACAAGATGTTAACTGATGGACTGGAGTCATTTAGATTACTAGTGGATTATTATGTTGTTTTCATCAGCTGTTTAAACTCTCATTCTGACGGCACCCATACACTGTAGCGGAACCATTGGTGAGCAAGTGATGTTATGGTAAATTTCTCCAAATCTGTCCTGATGAAGAAAAAAACTTATCTACATCTCGGATGACCTGAAAGTGAGTACATTTTCAGCAAATTTTCATTTTGGGTGAACTATTCTTTTAAAAGCCATTCTCCCAGATTGAGTTTTCTCTCATGTATTGAGCCAGACACTTCAGTAGCAATTACATACACTAAACGTTCCAGTTTTATTCCTATCTATATTTTGACGATTTTACAGAGGGGTTTATTCATATATAAAGTGTATACAAATTTTATTCCTAAACACAGTGTTTTTTTTCTGGCTGTTGACAGCATTTCCTGATTCATGGACTGATAAAAAAAAATAAATAAAAAAAACGAAACAAGAATTTTGAACCTGGCTTTACCCAATGTTCAGATTTCTGTTCTGGAAATGTATGCAAAGTGCATAAATGCATATGTATAAATGTATATATATATAAACATGACATTTCAGCAAACTTGTAATACACAATTTTTTTGTAATTATTAATGTAATCAATAAACTAGGTATATATGATGATGATTATATCTACTACTACTTTTACCCCATTCACCTGCAATGTCTTTCCTTAATGGAAGATATGAGGGTGAGAAAACTACATAAAATTAATATAAATGTAATAAGGAGGCAGGACACTCCTGATGCTACCTGAAGAGAAATATTTGCGAACAATGGCTTTTGCTTCCAGCAGCCCCTCTTTCTTGTTCTTGCCGGAGGGGGGGTTGTTTCTGTTCTGGAAATGTATGCAAAGTGCATAAATGCATATGTATAAATGCATATATATATATATATATATATATAAACATGACATTTCAGCAAACTTGTAATACAAAATTTTTTTGTAATTATTAATGTAATCAATAAACTAGGTATATATGATGATGATGATATCTACTACTACTTTTACCCCATTCACCTGCAATGTCTTTCCTTAATGGAAGATATGAGGGTGAGAAAACTACATAAAATTAATATAAATGTAATAAGGAGGCAGGACACTCCTGATGCTACCTGAAGAGAAATATTTGCGAACAATGGCTTTTGCTTCCAGCAGCCCCTCTTTCTTGTTCTTGCCGGAGGGGGGGTTGTTTCCTAAGGCCGTGATGGTGAGAGGGCAGTGAGACGGTGGTGAGAACAGGGGGTAAGGCTGTTGGCCCTCCTCGATGGTGAAGCCCAGCACCTCTACGTGACCATAGAGGCAAGTGAGCAGGCACTTCCCACGGAAACACAAGACCTGCACAAACATCAGACACAAAACTCAGTCTTCATGCAGAAACTAGTGATGGGAAATCAATATGATTAACTGATCAACATTTGACTGTTTTAAAGTTTGTAATGCTAATATTATGAATAACATTATACATACACACACACATCATTGTGTTTAAAAGCGTATAGCTGAGATTATCAGTCTACCTGGCCTTGTTTCATGACTAAAACAGCACGGTTGTGGGTATGATCAAAGTGGGCATGGAATTGAAGACCGTCCTCCTCCATCTGGTCTGTTTTAGGTGAGGTTGAACTCTCCATGCCATTCTTAAGAACACTATTGGCATATTCACTCCATTCTTGAGAGTCCACTGAACTGCTGCTGTCATCCAGTTCAGTGCCTCCATTTGTATGGACATGAGCAAAAGTCACAGAAGTGGCCTTTTCCTTTCTCTCCTCAGGAAAACGGTCTTCAGGGATAGGCTTCGTATACAACTTCTTCAACTGTTTTAATGCAGGTTTCTCCCTTTTGGTTATCTGTTGCGCCAACTTTGCAGTCCCAGGACTTGTATTTAGGAGCAATGAGTCCCGTCTGTGTATCATTTTGCGCCATTTATTCTTGCCATGGCGTTTTGTGGAGTTTTGCGACCGAGGAGAAACCTTGTGGACTTTCATTGTCATCCAATGAACTCCAACAAGACTAAAAACGTCATAAATCCAGGGCAGGGAGACACCTGTGAATGAAGACAGTCAAGTAACGACAACATAAGCACAGCTGGAGTCACTAAAAGGATTTTAAAAGTGGATGGACAGATAGAAAGATAGAATAACGAAAAGCTTAAACAGAATATCATTAGGTTGCTGGCTTTGTCAAGTTAACATAATAGCTTAATCCCTACCTGTTATTAATAGTAATAGTACTACCTGTTGGCTTACCTTATTCATTTGGTATAATATGATGCAATATTATCGTACCACACACATTATTACTAACCTCTAGTAAGAGTATAATTTGTTGTGATTTGATACTTTCACAGCTGTTAGTTGTTAAACATAACTGCAGCGATGCCGTTAGTCCATGTAACGTTAACTTACCTGTTTAAAGTGAGAAGCCGCTGTAACCGGTAACAACACAGATTTGAATCAAATCAAACGTGGAGCACGTATAAATAGAGTTTCTGTGAATATGCCGTAGTTTCTATGTAACTGGCAGTGGCTTCATGTGAGCATCAAATCACGCTGCACGATGCTGTTGTGGTTCCACTCCACTAATCGAGACGAAGCTGCTCATTTCCCCCTTTTGATCTGCTTTAAGACCGCACTGTCACCGTTTGAAAGGATAAATATAGTAGAGACAAAGATGAGACGTAAAACATATTAAATGTAGCGCTCTCTGGTTAACAGAAGCAATTATGTGCAGCGCTGCGCGCTCACAGTTAGCGTTTGTGCCATGTGATGGCCAATAACAAATGTCACGGAGTTAGAGTTTTAATTCTATACTACCATCCTGAATAAATACTTCGCTATAAAATAATTTACCATAACTTTCAAAAATTTTATAAATTTGAAGAATTGGTGTGCAGTTTGGTTGTATGAACTAAACTATTCAATCAGTTCATATTTGAAGAAATGCACTTACAGCGTAATGGGTTGAATGGCCAGCTATCGGAGACGTCCAACAATATTTCAACGTCACTTCCTGTTTCTGTTTCAACATGGCTTCTTGATGTTTAGCTCAAATTAAGCATTTGGTGCTATACGTTATATATTTTACTTAGTAAGTTACATAACGCATATATGTGGGCTTTCAGTATATGAAAAAAAGATGAGAGCAGTGATCTAATTTACGCTAAAGGTGAGTCATAAACGCTTGATTGTGCGGCGAGTAGTTTAGGGAGCGTCATTAAAATGCGGACATTGTGGTTAACGTTAAGGTAATATTAATGAATCAAATAGTTGTTAACTAGTCAAAGTTATCCGCATAGTATGGGAAAACGTTCTTGAGCATGGATGGATGAAAACGTGCAGAATTATACTGTGTACTGTTTTATAAAATGAACTGCGCCAAAATAAGAGCTTACCATAACCAACTATGCTTGTAGTACAATAATTGCAGTATTTTAGGATTTTCAAGAATTGCTCAAAGTTGTGCGATCTCTACAAACATTGTGTCTTAATAAAACATTTATAAATAATTATTATATAATAATAAAACCAAAACAGACACGTTATTATTGTATTTTACACAAATGTAGTATAATTCTGAGCATGAACATGTTTTCTTATCATACATATCCATGATAAAATGTTTTTAAAGTAGTTTAAAATGTAACTAAGTATTTTTGTTTATAATTTTAATATTTAATTTAAATGAAAACGTGCAGAATTATTCGGTGTACTTTTTAAAATAAACGGAACTACACCAAAATAAGCAAACTGTTGCTATAAACACCCATGCTTGTGCAATAATTGAGATGTTTCATGATTTTCTACAATTATTTAAAGTTGCATAACACATTTATTAGTAATGAGAGTGTAATAATAAAACCAGACCACTTACCACATTTTTTATTTTACACAAATTTATTATAATTATAAGAATGAAATTTTATTATTATTATAAATGCCCATTAACACTATTTGTAAAAATATTTAAAATGTAAATGAGACATTTATATAAATAATTTACTATTTATAATTTAAATATATAATATTTATAATTGTAATATTTAATTAAATAATTTTTTGTGAACTGTTCATAAAACAAACTAAACCAAAATAAGCGAGCTATTGCAACAAACAACTGTGCTTGTAGTACGATAATTGCAGTTTTTCATGATTTGAAAAAATTATTTACATTTATGAATAATTAGCTTGAGCTTTTTTGATTATTATAAATATCCGTGAATTAGTAAAAATTGACATTTTTAATTAAACATTTATATTTATATTACTTTAAATAGAATATTTATAATTTAAATGAATACATTTATTAATTTATACATTTATGTTGTATGTTATGTTGTCTTTATCTGTAATTTCATGCAGATAAAATGACTATTAAAATGAAACCGATGTCTCCTGCTTGTCCAGATGGAGATACTTGCTGAAGGGACCTCTCACGCTCAGCGGGTGCTGTCCTTGCTCAACCAACAGAGGGGTCTTGGCCACTTCTGTGATGCCATGTTGAGCACAGCGAGTGGACAAGTGCATCTGGCCCATCGCAATGTTCTTGCCTGCTTCAGCCACTTGTTCCAAGACCCCAGTTCAAACATGCCATGTATAAAGATCGAGCTGCCATTAGAGTGCCCTGATGATGGACTAGAGCTACTGCTTAACTTTTTTTACACTGGTGAACTCCAGTTAGACGACAGCAATTTAGAGAAGATTCAGAATGCAGCTAGCGGACTATCAGTGCCGGATTCTCTCATACCTTGCCAGAGTTTGCCAGGTGTAGAGAATTTACAGTCACCTGTCTCTAGTGAAGATGAAAAAGACAAACCACTGTTCCCTCTCACATCTGCAGACGCTCAGCCTGATCACACCCCGAAAGGAAAGACTAGATCTTGGCAGAGGACGAAAAATAAGTCTGATGCATGTAGGGTAGGTTCAGAGGTCACAGCTAGCGATGATGACCCTCCTGCCTCGACGTCTACTACCACCACACGTTCTGGAAGGCATGTAAAAGGGCCCAATCGACTAGTCGGGGAAAGTCCTATGTCTACTGTGATGAGGCAGGGAGCAGGAAGAAGAAAACCATCATCTCTAGAAGACAAAGAGCAGGAGACTTCTGCCACTGAGTACGGAGATCACCTCAAACATCAAGACATGAGTGAGACTGAGGTGCTCAGTACATCCATACTCAACCAGAAGACATTTATTCAATTCAAATAATTGAAACTTGATCATATATGCATTGATCTGACAATTTAATGCATTGATTATAAAAGTTGCTATAATAATGCATCGTGTCCAATTTTTGACTTAATTTCACTTAATACCAAATCCAAATTCTTGATTTTACTTGTAATCTGTTACTGTTAATTCTCTGTTGCAGGTGGATGGATCTGTTGATAACCAAAATGACAATGATGTCGACAATGACGATGATGATGACAGTGACAGAGGTGACAGTATGGATATTCTTATTGAAGGAACTGATGAAGAGTATGTGCCTCATGATTCACCTTGCTCGACCTCAAAGACTCCACGGGGAAAGCGCAAACGACATGAAAAATGTACCAATAAAGAGAATGGGGAAGGAACATCTAAAGACAGAAAGAAAGGCTCTGTCCAATGTCCAACATGCCATAAAACATTCCTCAGCAAGTACTACCTGAAAGTGCACAACAGGTAAGTTCCTCTTTGTTAGGCATATATTTATATATATATATAATATACATATGTATGTTTTAATATCTAAAAAGTATACATATGTACACACCACTATTCAAATGTTTGAGGTTAGTTAGATTATTTTTTTTAAAGTTTCTTATGCTCACCAAGGCTGTACGTGTTTGATGATAAATACAATAAAATTGTGAAATAATATTACAATTTAAAATAACTGTTTTTTATTTTAATAAAATGTTATTTATTCCTGTGATGCAATGCTGCATTTTCAGCAGCCATTACTCCAGTCTTCATTCTAATATTCTGATTTGCTGCCCAAGAAACATTTATTATTATTATCATCAGTTCTGAAAACAGTTGTGCTGCTTAATAACTTGGAAATGGTGATTCATTTGTGAGTAGAATGTTCAAAAGAACAGCATTTATTTGAATAGAATGCTTTGTTACATTATAAATGTCTCATTATAAAATGACACATTTGACTAATTTTAATGTGTCCTTGCTGAATAAAAGTATTAATTTCTTTAAAAAAAAAGGTACTGACCCCTAACGTTTGAATGTTTATATATAATTAATAATATTGTAATTACATACTGTATATAACATTATTGTTATATATAGAGGCTGGTGTTTTTTTAAATTGCTATTTAATTCTTTTTTTTAATTTTTATAAGTAATATGGCTCATCATGCCTTAATGTGAAGTTCCATCTTTGCTTCCTTCTTGCTGTCTGCAAGGAGACATACAGGAGAGAAGCCCTTTGAATGCGCTAAATGTGGGAAGTGCTACTATAGGAAGGAAAACCTGCTGGAGCATGAAGCCAGGAATTGTCTTATCAGAGCAGAAGTGGTGAGTTTGAAAGTGGAGGACAATTAACAATATGCATAAATACAATAAAATAACAATAATGCATCATTTTTGGTAGTTACTGATGCACAAATGCAGCTTTTATATTACAAATACTTACTTAATGCAACTTTTGGTTTGTGCCAGGTGTTTTCGTGTTCAAAATGTACCATGACCTTTAAAAAGCGACATGAGCTGCGTCTTCACACGGTCACACACACAGGAGAGATGCCCAATAAGGTACGTCATCCATTGTAGAGGTCAGATATGACCTTTTATCAACAGACATTGTGCCGAATCGATGTAATTTTACTTGTCATGTTAGTGCACGTCATGCCCTGAGCAGTTCATGCAGAAGAAAGACCTCAGGATCCACATGATTAAAGTTCACGGAGCTCCCAAACCACACGCTGTAAGTGACTCTAATGCTAATAACTTGGTCGGCAATATCATAACACCCTGCTATTGAAAACTGAATAAAATCAGAGTTTTTTCTGATTACTGATGTATTATCTGTCACATGTCTCGTCTAGTGTCCGTTGTGTCCCAAGTGTTTCCTGTCCCGCACTGAGCTACGTCTACACGAGGCAGCCAAACATCGTGGTGAGAAACTGTTTGTGTGTGAGGAGTGCGGCCATCGGGCCTCCAGCCGCAACGGCCTGCAAATGCACATCAAAGCCATTCACAGGTAAACACATGACATGAACAACAAAGAACTGAAACATGCTTTATTTATTGTTTAGACTGATTGCTAATTATTTTTGCCCGCTATTCAAAGTCGAGGTTGTTAGCGAATTCTGGAATTATGCATGCATGTGGTGAAAAGACAATAAATAGCTGGACAAGAAAGAAACCTTTTTGTGATATTTATATGTGTAATCCATTTTGCATGTTTGTGTTTACTGGTTGGATTCTCGCTGAGCTGTATCTATTGCGCTTCTTTCCAGAAATGAGCGTCCTTTTGTGTGTGAGTTCTGCAATCATGCTTTTACCCAGAAAGCCAATCTCAACATGCACCTTCGAACACATACTGGAGAGAAACCTTTCCAGTGCCACCTCTGCGGCAAGACATTTCGCACACAAGGTAATTTCACAGACAGAGTGATTTAGCTCGGGCTATTTTGATTTCTAGTTCATTTTTAAAATCAAATCCATGCAGTTTCTGTATTAGTTTTGTATTGTTAACCAAATGTTTGCTGATTGTTTGAACAGCGAGTCTGGACAAACACCACCGCACACATACAGGAGAACGGCCATATAGTTGTGAGTTTTGTGAGCAGCGCTTTACTGAGAAAGGCCCTCTCTTACGCCACATAGCCAGCAAACACCAAGAAGGTCGACCACACTTTTGCCACATCTGCAACAAAACCTTTAAAGGTAAGATATCTGGACAATTACACTTTT